CAGGGACAGATCGCAAAATGACGGAAAACTATATAAAAGATTATATTAAATTACAAGAGGCTCAGGAAGTAAATGAAATACCATCGACCAGTCAAATTACGACTGTTGTTAAACAAACTGAATCGTTTTATGACAAATGGGGCGATGGTAATTCTGGTAATATGTCAATACCCGATGATGAATATTATAATTACATAAATAATAGATAAAACATTTAAGGTGGATAATTTGTTAGAGTGGTGGGCGGCTCATCAAAGCGAATTTCCAATTTTAGCAAAATTGGCAATTCCTGCTTTAAGTGCAAGCTGTGAGCGGAATTTTTCCACTACTGGGAGAATTCTTGAAGAAAGAAGAAGTAATCTTCAACCTGAAAAGGTAGATATGCTTCTCTTTCTTCATGATAATTTATGAATTTTTAATATCTTTCTTGAGTATAGGGTTTCGTCAATCATGCTGGTTTTTTACTTTGCAAACTGTCAAATATTTTGCATTTATTATATTTACCTTGAGTCATGAAAGTTTTTAATCCAACATTTTTCATTATTTTTTTTTACAATATTATATAATACAATTATCTTCTTTTGTTAAAAATTTATATTATAAAATAAATTATATTAATATTGTGCAATTAGATTATATTTTCAAAATACTATTTATTATACATGCATTTTTTTAAATAGCGATTTATTTTTATTTTATAAATTAAATATTAAATACAATATATTATATTCTCAAAATATTTTCCATTTTTATAAATTAAATATTAGTTTTATTTTTTTTAAATGTAATATAAAATATAGTATATGACAAATATTATTACCATTTTTATGAATATTAGTTTTATTTTTTATAAATGCAATATAAAATATAGTATATGCTCAAAATATCCATTTTTATAAATAACAGTTTTATAATTTTTATAAATTCAATATAATATTCTCAAAATATTCGCTTTTTACATGCATTTTTTAAATAATAAGCGATAATACTCGCTGAAAAATATGGTAAAATACCTCATAGGTGAATTTTTGTATATACCAGGTCGAATATAATTTTTAAAAGTTCCGAGCCGGGCCTGAAATTTTTAAATCCGGGCCTGGCCGTAAAAAATTTTTTTAAAAAATATCCGGGCCGGTCGGGCCTTAAATTTTTAAATCCGGGCCGGGCCTTAAAAAATTTTTTTTAAAAATATCCGGGCCGGGCCTAAAAAATTTAAAACAGGGCCGGGCCGTGCAAATGGTACCTCTGTAGGTCTCTGATAAAAATAAATAAATATAAAATAAGTGAAACTCAAAAACAAAAAAGTAACATGGTTTGATTTAAGATTTTATAATAAATTTATGCACTTAGATGAAATGATATTATCATATTTTTTATTTATTTATCATTTTATACATTATCATAGGTGAATTGATATTATATTTATTATTAAAATTATTCTTTATTATTCTATAAAAGTTGGAAATATTGTAGTTGAAGAAGGTCATAAAAATAACAAATGATGAAAAATTCTTGTAGGGAATATTTTAAACTCAAGTTTCATTTTTTTCAAATGTTAATTCCGTTATTTCTACCAATACTACTTGAAGAATTATCTTAAATTAACAATGTATGATGAGAGGTTATCAACATTATGTATGGTCAGTATATATCGGGCCCGAATCTTTGAAAAAGGAAATTTTTTTATTCAGATATTTTTGCAATATTTTAACAAAAACCTAGATTACATTTAGCATTTAAGGTAAATTTATTGTATCTTGACTATGTTATATTTTATCTTTAGAATGAGAATAAATAAATCATGATTTGAATATTTTTTGATTAGCACTATAAATTACATTTACCCGATAATATTTAATAAAAATAAAGCTTAATAAATTTATAAAAAATTTAAGCTAAAATTTTCATATTTCAATAATATTTTTTTCGCGCGAATTTTGCTGAGTTTTTAAAATACTCCATAAAATTTATATTAAATTGTATATGCAAAACGAGTTCTTATTATCAGTTTCGCTGGATAATTTAAATTCTAATTAATTTATATTACGATCCTTTAATTTTCTGTAAACTCAGCTTAATAAAACATATATATAATAAAATTATTTATAATTTAATTTTTGATAATAGCTCAACCAAAGAAGGTTATTAATATTATTTATATTTTTGAACCTGCCTATCTGACATGTCGATCATTATAGATAAACTAATATAAATAATAAATTAGCTGTTGTGCCCTAAGAGTTATTTAATAATTTTGCGCTTATATCTAAGTTCATCCTTATTTTTAAAAGTAATGAGTACTGTTTCAAAAAGAAGACTTCATTCTTCATTACTTTATACTTTAATTTTCAAAAGTTATAACGGATGACGATGACGTTACTTTTAAAAAGGTTACTTTACAGCATAGATTAGAAATAACAGTAAATAATTAATTAATTATAATTATAGTTACGTATATACTTGTTTGGTTTAGGTTAGCATTGATAAAAAGCTACAAAATTTATTTTATTTCTATAAATGTAAGAATGAGTTTAAAGGAAATAAAAGTTGTTTGTGATTATTACTAATATTAAATTTATAATAAATATATTAATAATGGTTAGAAATAATAGCATTTACATTTGAAATATAATTATTTTTAAAAATTTAATAAAAGAGTTAGGCTTTCTAATATCATAAGCGTAGCCAGGGGGGGGGCATCACTCCTTCGGAAATTTGCCTGTTCTCGTAAATATTCTCTAATTTTTAAGCTACATTGGCGTACGCCGCGGGGGGGGGCAGGGGGACAAATCCCCCCCCCCCCAAAGCTAAAAATGCAGATGCCGGATTATATTTTTCAAAAATATTGTTATTAATTTATATTTGTTAATATTTATTCCATATTTAATTATTTATTTATCACATTTATCTACTAAGTTATTTTACCAATCAATTTCGATTTCAAGTTTTCCTTGGCGTAATTTACCTATTATTTTCAAATTTTAGTGGCGTAATATTTATCTAAATTTCTAGTCAAATAATAATTATCTCTGAAACTTGTCCAACAGGGAGAAAGAAATTGCAAGCTTGTCCAACGAGATCGAGTCTCCGCCATCAAGCAGTAACAGCTATTATGGAGTTAGCAGAGCCGATTATTAATGCTATTATTGAAATATCACAATGGCTTGAAAGAAATATTTCCTCAGAAGCAAGAAAATTATTTGATTCAATACTTATTCCAAATTTTTTTTCTCATTAGAATGTATTATTTAATTATACAACTATTTTATGTAATACTTTTCAAAAACATAACATTGACTTGATTAAGAAGATGAGAATAGCGGAGAGCATTTTATTAGAACTCAAGGAAATTTGAGCTAATGTTGTTGAAGGATTTCATATTTTATATATTATTGTTGAGTCAAAAGCAGAGCTATACGTGTTTAATATTTGCCCCCCTCGACTTGCAGCAAGTAAGCTCATCGTCAAGTATTAATATAAGATCAGTAGAAGAGTATTATAAAACAAATGTCCCCTCTCCCAACCTTTTTCATATGGTGATAGAAAAAAAATATAAATATTTGTTAGATCTTTATCATGAAGATGTTAAAATATCTTATGATGCCTTATTAACTGAATAACTCTGATTAAAAGATTAACTATGGTTGATACAGTCCCAAAAAATGCTATGGATGCTTTTTATTTCAAACACATTTTAGATTATACTCCCAATGTATTAAAATGGTTATATATATATTAGCAGCTTTTTGGTAAACTAATGAGAGAACATTCTCTTTTTTAAGAAGAATAGCAGAGCCTTTTTTAAAAAAATTTTCAGGCCCGGCCCGAATTTTTTAAAAATAAATTATATTTATTTTTGATTTTTATAGCTAATAATGGCGATTTCAAATATTTGGTTTTAAAATATACAGCTCGGCCCGGATATTTTTTCTAAAAAAATTTTCAGGTCCAGCCCGGGTGTTTTTTTAAAAAAAAATTCAAATACGGCCGGGCCTGCAAGTCTGTGAAAAACATACCTATGAAATACAACATCTGAAAGTAGATTGAATGATTTGGATCTTTTGAATATTCATAGGCATTTAACGCCAAGCAAGGATAGATAATTGAAAAATTAGCTCAAAACATACAAAATACAATTATTCCTAAGAAACTTTTTGTGTATTAATTTATATTTCCAACATTTAAATTTTTTATACTTTATATATTTTAAAAGCTCATAAAATTCAAATTTCAATTTTGGGTCATTTAAGTGATTCATATCGTGGGTTATATTCACTTTATATTTTATAATTCACATTTATTTTATAGTTTTTCAATGCCGGTTTATATATATAATTTTTTTAATTCACATTGGTTTAAAATTGTGTATTAGAAAAGTTATTAATCCTAATAAATTTATGCTTAGTATTTTTAATTAACAATAATATTTCTTAAAAAAATTTATTATCCCCCCCCCCCACACCAAATTCCTGCGTAAGCGCCTGTTAAGCTAATAACCTTTTCATCTCTCCATACAAAAATGTATACAATATATCTTATATAAACAAGAATCTGAAAAAAAAAGTAGTAAAGGTTAAATTTTTTTTTAACGATAATTCAAATTTTTTAGAAAAAGGAACATTTTTATTTTAAAAAGTGAAAATCCAAAATTATTTTTATAAAAATCGAATATAACCAAAGGCCTACAATAGGTCGACCTAGACCTTCAATAAAAATTTAAGTTAAAAGACCCCATTCAATGGTATCCCCCCTCCCACCCTCCTCCCTTCCCTTGGCAAAATCCTGGCAAAGCATGTGATATATATTTTGCGTGCCTCACAGAAGTTCCCGACTAGAATATATTTTTTCTCTTAGGGAGCTCAAAATATATATTTTCAACCTCATGAGACTCGTCCTACTAGTGTATATATCCAGTCCGACCCTAGTCCTTATATACACTTTTAAGTTTATTCAAAATTTTATAGAATAGATTATAATATTTTTGTCTTTGAATATAATAGATTCAAATTATTTGTCAAATACATCATTACCCGAAGCCTTTGAGATATTCTATGCACATAATTTATCCCTGAGAGAATCGTTATCACCACTTCATATAAAAGAACATACCAATAAATCACCTATCCTAACTGATAATAATAACAATAATTTTAACCATGATGATTCTATGAATAAAAATGTCATTAATGCTAATGCCAAGTCTAGGTTGTCGACCAATCTCCAATACAATTCGTTCACATTGCTGAATATATTGAAAGAGTAATTTTTGAATAATATAATAAAGAATTTCTTGTTATGTATTTTTATTTTTTATAGAGTTTATTTTAATTTTAATAACAATCATAAATAAAAAAAATTATTTTTTTCATTAAAAAGTACTGCACTAGACGTTAATGAAGGAAATTTAGAAAACGGGCGGGTGGGTTAAAAATTTTTTAAACAACGGGCTTACAAGTTGCAAACATTTTAACGCGTTTGCTTTGAAATATAATTTTGAAAAAAAAGTATTTGATTGTTATTAAATTTAATAAACGATAACATTTTATCAGTATTGAATTTCTATTTTTGTAAAAATGTGAATATTTTTCATTATTTTTCTTTTAAAATCATACTAGACGAAAATTTCTTTTTCACAGACAAATTTTTATTTTATTACAATAAAAACCAATAGGAGTGTGGATCATTTTTTTTTAAATCATGGCGGGCTGATAATTTTTTTCAAAACCATGGGTGGGCGGAGGGACTAAATTTTTTTAGAATAAAGAATGAACTATTAAATTTTTTTTAAAAACCCTAGGCTGATGGTTTAAATTTTTTAGAACGAACAGGTGGGTCTGTCCGTTAAAAATCCGTCTGTTGCAGACTTATAACTTACACAGTACAATTCTTAATGTGGATTATAATACAATAAATTTAAGAAAGCATTAATGGGAAATCAAATATTTTTATCAACATTCTTCCTTAAATTATGTGTAGACTAATTTTTTGTCTAGATCATAGAAGATCACATGGTTAACTGTGCATATTTTTACGATAGACCATCATCACTAATCGGATAAAAATATTGGCATTGTGTTTATATCTTTGTTTCTTTTTTTGTGTTTTTAGATTCCTAGCTATTATATATATTATCAAAATGACTATTTACTCAATAATTAAAATATCTCATTATTATAAAATTTTAAGAACACTTTTATCACATGTATTTTTTTAAATTCAGGCGCATAGACCGGAGTGAAGGGAGGGACAGATTTTAATTATTTCGAAGATATATAAAAGGTTTTCAATTGTTTATTGCAAAGATTTCTATTTCAGGAAGGATATATTCTATATTAAATTTTAACATAAAGTTAAAATTAATTTAAATATTTCTTCCTTGTATTATCCACGAAAATTTAAAGCTAATTTTCTTACACTGATGGATACTATAAAATTTTATCAACCAAAAAATGTAGAAGTGATATAATATAGAATAAATAACCAAAACCTAGGATAGCTTTAGAAATTATAATAATTGATTCATCATTACAATATTTTTTTGCAATGGAATGTATTGATAAATTATTTTATAACACAGACATTTCATGCAATTCAAAAAAAATGATATGGATTTGGTTGAGGTTATGAGAATAATATATTACAACTTAGAAAAGAGATGAATAATGAACAAGAATTTAAAAAAATTATGTGATTGTTGAGGCAGCGAAAATATATAATTTTGAGATTCTCAAGCCTAGACTTGCACCTAGATAAACATATCGTTCCAATATTAGCGTGGAGTCAATTGAAAATTACTCTTAAATAACCGTTTATATTCCATTTTAACATAATTTTTGATTCAAATCTATGAACTATTGTAATTCATCAAATAGCCTTATCCAATTTACAAATACCATTATCTAGAAAACCTTCGGAGGAAATATTAAATCTTGATATTGAAAATTAATATTAGTATTTTAGCAACAATACTTTAATTTTTTACTTTACTAATTAAGAATAAGTAAATATTCTCTGAAAATTCACGATTGTTTATAATTAGTAATTAATTATCGTTTTTAGAAAAGGAATTTAATTATAATTAATTACAAAATTAAGTAATTTTAATTAATTACATTTTTTAATAATTGCCTATCCCTGTGTAAAACTGTGCAATTAATGATATTTGCAATAGGTAATATGCTGCTGCGACAATTATATTATCTATATTGTTAGTATTACCGTTGATAATTTAATAACTGGAAAACTTCTATTATTCTTATAATCGTTAGAATGTTAGAAAATGGAATAATATCATTTAAGTTAAAAAGAATTGATAGTAGACAAAAATAGACTTCTAAAAATATTCGCCAATGTAATTATATTTGAATATTATTTTCGAAATTATTTTATAGACATTTTGACCCAAAATTAAAAATTGGTTTTTATAATTTTGGGATGCAATATTAAACGCTTTAATAAAAGGATAAAATATTTTATTTATTGTCATAATTATAATATAAAATATACATATAATTGCGTATAATAAGAATTTTTTTTTAAAAAATGGTTGAATATGTCAAGAGTTATAGAATAAACAAAATTATCATCTTGATCCAAAAATGGATATACTAATATGGGGCAAAATTTAGAGACGTCACCTTAAGCTTAATAGCGATCTGAAGATTTCTAAGTAATGTCACTAACAATGCTTGGCAGTGCTTAGATACTTCATTTTTTAAATATTTTTAATTTATCAGGATGGAGTAATTCATTTACTTTGCATATCACATTGATACTTTCAAGTTGCAATACAATGTTAAACTCATCGCTAAAAACATCTTTTGACTATTCAGTAAAGATTCAATCTTTATATTTTCATACGAAATTGTCTCGTTTCTTCTTTTGGTTAACTGTTAATAGAGGTTTTTTATTATATCATTAAACTAAAAAGTATAAACAGTTTCATGTAAAATAAAATAACTTTATAAAATTTATAACCCAAAAAAATGAATTATTCTGTTTCAGTTAAGGATAAATAAAATCTTTCCAATTTTTGAGTCAAATGAAAATATTTGTTCATCTATTTTTCCTGATAATTCGTTGCCTGCGTTTAATGTTGTCACATTTGGATGCTCTTTGAGGCCAAGAGGTTGCCGAGTAACATATATTAATATTGTCTGATTGTTTCTGTACTTGGTGGAGTTTTTCGGCTATGGCTGAATTATTTCTTCTTCATGTAAATCAAGAATTTACTCCTGTGTAATTTGATCAATTAGAATTCCACTGGGAATTTGAAATTAAAATTCAAAAATGATTGTGAAAAGTAACGTTTAATCTTATTTTTGCAGATTTTCAAAAGCAAACGATTCTACTTTCACTCTGACCATATAAAACAATAACTAAAACATGAAATTTAAAAACGGCGTTATTTATGAGTTAAAATATAATTTTCTATAAATTACCATAATCTCAAGCAAAGATATGGTGGGGGGAGGGAAGGAGGAAATTCACCTTTCCGGAAATTTGAATTTTCTCGTAAACATCATTTTAGGCTAATAATTTCCTCCCACACCCTCCTCTTTTCCAGAAATGGATGCAACATATTATAAAGGAGAATTTGAAAGAAAAATTAGTAAGTTAATAACTTTTAAAAATAACGACTTTTTAGAAGTATCATTATTATAAAAAAAATGTGAAAAACCAAAAAAATATTTATAAAAATCTATTAAACCTAGAGGTCTACAATAAGTGGACCTAAGGACCTCCAATAAAATTTATAGAAGGGGGGGGGGCTTTAATCATGTTCTCCCCCTTTCCAAAATTCTGTCTACGCCTATGACCTTAAAATTAGCGTTTAAAAATAAATTATTAAACATCTTTGGAATCTTGAAACCACCTTCAAAATATAACTACATCATTTAGTGTAAAGATTGGTAAAAGAGACAAAATTAAAACTTATTTTTGAATTTAAGCAGTATTTAAAAAATATTTTTTTAAACGTTATTCACTTTTTTTGAAACATATCTGTATTTATGTTCAATACATTTTTTAGAAAATTTATCAATTTTGCCTATTAAAGATTCACGAACAGGGTTGGCAGGTCTACCACATTGACTAATAGATTACCTTATCTTTTTTTAAAGTCTAAGTCTACCACACCCAACTAATATTTTTAAAATTGCCGAAATATACCACAAAAACTCTTACAAAATCTCCCACATTTAATTTTTTTTAAAAATCATGTTTTTGATATAAACATATCATCTATTATGCTTAAAAAAGAAATTTTAAAATCAAAAAATTCAATTCCCTCTTTCTATTGAATTCCTTGTTCTAAAATTTATTATGTTTTATTTGAAAATCATTATAAGTACGGGATTTTATATAATTAACGGCCATACAATATTAGCTAATTTGTATAAATTAATTTTACTACCACAATCAAATACTTTTTACTTTGGAACCCTTATCACGAATAACATAAGAATTTATAAATATCATCTCAGAATATTATATTTTACAGTGATATTTTGCTTATTTCAACTTCTCCTAGATCACAATTTTTTTTAAAGATATAACTCGTCTAATAAAATATAAATGATGAATTAGGTGATTCCCAATAAGAATTATCTGCATTTTAAACTTTATTATAAGAGTATTTAAGTGGCATAAAATTATGGTCCTTATAAATGGTTAAATTTTGATATTTTTTTATATAAATTGGAATTTAATTTAGCCTAGTATGACCTCAACATTGAGCCCCTTAGCCTTGTTTCAGGGCTTGTGATATGTTGTATGCATGTATTCGATATATAATTATTTAAAGAGATACTCAACATATTCGGGAGTTATTAGATGATTTGATCAACCAAGTATCGATTCCTGAGAATCTAAATAAAACTGAAAAACTCAGAAAAGGTAAATAACTTATTACTAAAAGTTTGAACGGAATTAAAAAATCATTTTAATCTTGTTACTTTTTATATTACACTTCATAAATACATAACCTTGAATTCATAGTGGCGCGATTGCGATTTAACAGCTGATTTATTTTTAAAATTGTTTATGAGATCAATTTTTATTAGTTAATATTAATTTTATCTTTAATTCAAATTTTAATAATAATCTAAGAAATAATGATTTTAATAAAGAATAATTGATCTCATAAACAGATTTTAAAAATCAATCAGCTGTTAAATCGCGATCGCAATCGCGCCACTATGAATTCAAGGTAAGAAAATGGGTGATCGGAGAGGCACTTTGAAAATTGATAACATATATGTGACACATGACACTGCCAATAATAATTTAGATTAGAAAAATTTTATTGGGTCCTGAATAAATTATTTTCATTTAAATTTAAAAGTTGGCCATTATTTTATAGAATTTATTAATAGGAATAAATGCGTTATTTTTCATAGAAATTAACATATCCAAATTAGTGTTAAAGGACTCGATTTGAGTCGATTTTTAAAAACGGCTAACTCGATATTTTGTCCAGGAAAATATTACGCAAACCTAAAAATATTAGTCCTAGATGGCACAAAGGTTTGGACATCTATTAGCAAAATGAAGCTTGGGCATTTTCTGGCTAAACTATTGAGTTAGCCGTTTTTAAAAATCTGCTCAAATCGAGCCGTTTAAAAAAAATATTTAAATAGTTATCCAAATTTTAACAATAATTGATCGAGATTACCTTTTACAGCTCATCAACTATTGTGTGGCATGTAAAAATAACTTCTCAAAAATCTGAGAATTTTTAAAAGGATAATTGACTGTTCAGGAAAATAGTTCAAGTTTCGATGATGAAATCTAAGTGTTTACTTTGAATAACTGTAATTAGTGTAATTTATTCCCAACTGTAAAATCAGATTAATAATCATTAAAATCCAGAATTGAAGATGACAAATTAATTTATTAAAAAATATAGTTAATCAAAATCATTCTAAAAAACATAAACTAAAACGTTAAATATAAAATCAAAATATAAAGTAAAAATTATAAAACTTTCCCTTTTCTTCTTTTTTTTTTTTTTTTTTTTTGAAAGATATCAAATGTTTATTATATAGTTTATTATCAATATAAGGTATAATAATTTAAATTTTCATTATAATAAATTTTAATATATTTAAAAATGTTTGAAAAATATATAATAATACTATTAAAAAAAAGAACGGAGATGGTGTGACGCAGGGAAACAAAAATGAAAAAGGGACATAAGCGTTGTCTATGATAGCTCTTTGGCTAGAAGGCTACCATTGAAACTGATATAATTAGCTTTGTGAATCGCTATGGATAATCGTTGACGAAGAAAAAAACCCTCTCGTGGTTCTTCTGAGAGTTTGCTGATTTGTGATCCTAAGTTTTTGAAAAATGCTAAGGCGAGTTTGCCGAAGGTGCCAAGAGTGGTTGATATGATTGGGATGAAGCAATGATCGTTTATTATTTCTGTGTATTTAGAAATTTTAAGTTGTTCCTTCTGGTCAAGGATGTTGATGGCGTGGTTGGATGGGGCCAAGGGGTCAATACAGGAATAGTTCCATACCAAAAGTTGGCCTCTCCTCCATAGGATTTGAGAGATCCCATCAGGACGTTTACCGTCAGATCTAAAAAGACCCTGTGGTTCTAACGTGGAAGGAATTTGGGCGGATTTCAGAGCATGTTGGATGATTGTATTACATTGCTTGTGTCTGATGAATCGTCCATTGCAGGAGCGACAATGTAAACTATGTCTACCCTTCGAGTCAACTGGCGAGTTGCACCCTGAGCAGATGTGGGGGTGAGTGATGGAACAATTTAGACGAATGCCGATGGCATGGGTAAATTCATTGTTGGATAGTTGAAGCTGAAGATTGGTAGATGGGATGGCCTCAAGAAACTCATGTCCCGTACCATTGAGCAAGGAAGAGAATAGGGTGCGGTCGGTAGATTGCATGCTAGATAAGAGAGTTTCAACGCAGCAAGCAACCACTGGTGCATCCCAGTCTTTCTGTTTATGGGTTGTGGGGGGATGAGAATCAGCATTGATCCTTGTTTTCCAAATATCCATAGCCACGATTAAGGAAAGGTCTTCTTTAGAATTATGGGCGGTGGTTATTGGCTTTGTCAAGAGACTACTCGATATGAAAGTAGTTGTTGCTAAGTCAAGTGGAGATCTGATGCCGAGACCACCAAATTTGGTTGGAAGAGTTGCTTGGGCACAAGCGGTTTCGTTGAATCTGATATTTACTATTTTTTCGGTTAAGTCCTTTATTCCTTTTTCGTAGTTTGGAGAGGAATAGGATATTTAAAAATTGGTGTTGACCGAAGTGCGTAAAGAATCCTTGGTATAAAAAAGAAATTTTTTAGCAAAAAAAAGGACTTGTGTGATGGAAGAAGTGTAAAGATGTCCTCCAGTTTAAGGAGTATGTCAAGTGTGGAATGAAGAAAGGTGCTTATTGCCTCGTGTCCTCCAACAGGCGATCCTAGATGTGTTAATTCAACGCTTGATGTGAATTTGAAATCATGAGTGTTGGGAGCATTAGAATTTAAAAGTGAGAATTTAGATTTGCTCTGGTTAAGCGAAAGTCCAATGGCTGTGCCCATTTCTTTAATTATGGTGACTGCTTTGGCAATTTCACTACTGGGACCACTCAAGATTCCATCATCAATATACCAAGCGTGGAGCGATAGAGTACATGAAGAGTTTATTGATTTTATCATGTCATTGATTCCAAGACTAAAGAGAAGGGTACCGAGAGGGTAACCTTGTTGGATACCCTCGACAGAAAGTATCTTTTCTTTGTTGAATTGTAAGATTGTTGGTGATTGGTAGCAAGAGAAAAGAAATTTGGTATAAGCGGGGAAATGGAAGCAAGTTGAATGTAGGAACGTGTTGCGCGAAAGAGTGTTGTAGGCGTTAGAGAAGTCAATTTTTACTAGGGATTCGTTTTTTGGGTTATTTTCAAGGTGAATTCTTGTTAAGTGCACAGCAGCTTCACACCCACCAGGTATCCCTACACCAAGTTGATAGGGGCTTAGAATGTGTGCGGCATCGTGTTTGATTCTAGATGCGATTAATTTAGCGACCAATCTACGGTGAACCAATGGCGATGGGCCGAATGTCCTTGTTTGGTTTTTGGAGTGCGATGAGTCTGGCACCGAATAGTAAGGGGGTAATAAAGCTGGGTACGTCTCCATTTAGGATTTTGTTGACTAAATTTGTGATTTTAGTGAGAATTGAAACCTGTGTACAGATCACAGGAGAGGTAATGTCCTGTAAAAAAATTGGTCTAATCCCATCTAGACCATGAGCCGAATCCCAATGAAAAGATAGGATTGCTTTCCTTACTTCTTCCTGTGTGTAATCTGCTGCACAATGGGAGAAGGGTTGGGGCAATATTGGCATAAATGTTGTTGTGGGATGCTTTGATCGAAGCTTAATTAAGGTTTCTAAATTGGATTCCGCCAGAGTGTCATTGGTTGAAATGAGTTTGAGGGCCCCATTGATATTAAGACTGTCAATTTTCTTCGAAATCAATGAGGCTTTATGTTGAAGTGGGGTTATTTTTTTTTGTTTATGGGATGTCTGAAGATTTGGGACTCATGAAAATGAGTGTTGATGTTTAAACAGGCATCTTTTATTTGTTGAGTTAATGATTTTTGGAGTGATATGTCAGGTATTTTGAAAGTATTGTACCCAAAGTTTAAAAATTTTAACCTTTCTTCTTCTTTGTTAAAATTTTGCAAAAGAGAAGATATGCAGTTGCTGAGAGATTTAGCTACTTGTATTCTCGTTCCTTTGGGTATTCTCGTTATGATACTTGGTTTTGTGGAATTAAGAAAAATATCTGAGAATGAGGCACCGATTACTTGGTTTAAGGGAGAATCTATGAGAGGGGGGGGAAGCGAGTAAGTGATCTGAGAAAGAGGCGTGTGTTTTGAATGCGGACACCTGTTAGAGATTGGTCCATGAACAAAAAATTCTCCATCATTTGTTAAATGTATTGGTTTCATGCAGGATGGGCAGATTCTGCGTTCGTGGGGAATGGCCATAGGTATAAAAAATAAAAAAAATGCTGCCAATAATAAAGCAACTGTGAGAGGTCTGTTGATTGATGTGCAAAAATAGCGAAGGAATGATGAATATGTATGTCAGAAAAATCGAGCAACGAGCGAGAAAGATGCTCAATATGAGAGGTTTCAAATAAAAAAAAGGATTAATTATTAAAAATTTTTAAAATTTTCGAACCGCTATTTATACTACTAAAATTTACAAACCATCAATATATATTTCATATAATTGTTTGCTTACAATAAACCTTTCAATTACCTTTACAATATAAACATTTCAATTATCTTTACAGATTTTATATTCAAATTAACTGTTTATTTTAGAATTATAAATAACTTTTCTTTTTCAATATACACGTATTTGACATTAGGATTCAGACCATTTCATCTAGTTATAACCTATTTCCATATAATTGCTCAATATTATGTGACCTAAAAACCTACTTTCTTTGCCTCATTATTTTATAAGACTTGAAATTTGAATCCTTTATAAACTAATTAAGAAAATATGATAGGGCAAAATCAGTACATCAGGACCCATAGAATATTATTTTCTTAAACAAAATATTTAAATTATTATTTTAAAATATAGTTATTTTTGCTTTTTGGAAACTTGTAGTCCCACATTTGTTGTTATAGAATGATACTTTTTACATTTTTATTTTAATTAAAAATATTATAGTGACCACTTTTATTTAACAAATTAATTTTAATATTGTTATATCATATGTTTCTATATAGATTTTTTATTCTACCATTCAATTCACCGTCAATCTCAAATTTACAAATTATGCATGTATTGTTGCAAATGTGAAGACATCGATTGAATTGCCGCCTGGACAAGATAACAAAAAAAAATATTATATTTTAATAATGTGTGTTTTGCTCACATTTAATTTCACTTATTAAATTATTAATGCTCAAATATATTTTATAAGTAATAAATATTAATTGTTAAATAAATCAAATTATAATTTATAAATTTATAATTATATAATTAAAAATAAAATTCTATAATTGAGTCCCCAAAAAGGAACCATAATTGTGTCTAAAAATTTATATTTGAATTTTTTGTCGAATAAAAAGGAATTCTCTGGGTTCATTTGTGAAAAGTAGTGTTGTTAAAAAGTCGAGTTTTATCGGCTCCGACCTCGAGGTCGTAGCCAAAAAATTCGCTCAGGCTCAAGCCGGCTCATTGAGCCGGCTGAGTTGGCTTGCTCGAGTCGGCTCAGGAGTTGGCTCAAGCCGGCTCAGGAGTTGGCTCAAGCCGGCTCAGGAGTTGGCTCAAGCCGGCTCAGGAGTTGGCTCAAGCCGGCTCAGGAGTTGGCTCAAGCCGGATCAGGAATTGGCTCAAGCCGGCTCAGGAGTTGGCTCAAGCCATTAGCTCAAGCCGTAGGCTCAAGCCGTTAGCTCAAGCCGAAATTTATTTATTTGTGATTAGTCTTGTTAAACGGCTGATCCAAACCCGCTTCTTAGCTTACTAATGTTGTTAAACGGCTGAGCCAAGCCGGCTTCTTGGCTACCATGCCGGCTTATCCCTAAACTCAGTCAAATTTTGAATCGAAAATTTGTAACTCAAGCCTACTTTTAAGCCAATAATTAATTTATTTGTGATTAGTGTTGTTAAACGGTTGACCCAAGCTGGCTTCTTGGCTTATTAGTGTTGCTAAACGGTTTGGCCGTAATTTGAAGCCTTTCATTGATTTTAAATCAGTGATGTAATAATATTACTGTAAGGTATTGAATGTTTTTCCTAGGACCCTTGCAATTTATTTTACTATCTCACAGCCAATATTAACTTTAGAAATAAAATATTATGTAAAAAAAAATAATAGCATAATTTAGGATTTGATATAGAAAACTGTTTTACGCAGGCGCACCCTACCTAAGTAATAATTACACAAATTTATACAAAATAGATTATTATTTTTTATAAAATAATCATTCCTTAAATAAAATTCTTTATAAAAAATTCTCTATAAAATCATTCTCTGTAAAATAAATCTCTATAAACGACATTCTCTATAATTGTTTTCTCTGTAAAAGTTTCTCTAGAATTGTTTTCTCTGTAATGGTTTCTCTGTAATTACGCGATACCAAATATTTTCAATTATTATTTTATAAATGAAAAAAATAAATTAAACATAAAATTACAAATAAAAAGAATATTAAGTATTGTTTATAAATTTTTAAATGTGGTTTATTTTAATATTAATTATTATATCCGATAGCTGCAGAGCCGTTTGTTGGCCAGTATTTCTTAAAAAATATTTAGATATACATATAGTCCGTGCTTTGTATATTCAGATTTTAGTTTTTAAATATTATATATTTTAAGAAAATATTAAAAACAAAAAATATCTAAGATTTTTTTTTCTTTAATGCCGCTTCATCTATTTTACTTAAATACTTTTTATGTAATTTATTCAGGGAATGCATATATTTATATATTATAAATATAATAAGAAAGCAGCAGTTATAAACCTGGCAAGGGCAACCCATACATCATTAGTTTATCTCAAGTTAATAAAAATAGGAGGCTGACATGTTTGATATAAATAATTAATTTTCTCCTTTAAAATCATAAACTAATATAATAAATTATATTTATAGTCAACCCTTAGTAATATAGGAAGGGAGAGGGTTGGGAAGAAATTTAAATAAATAAATATTTTTGTAATTAAAATCAAGGGAAAAAAATGAGACAGATATCAGGTCACCCCAATGAAGGATTTTACCTTCGTCAGCAGATTTCCCTGGAAGGAAATCTGCAGGTCCAATTTTATAAATATTCAAGCTTCTCTCAGATGATATGTACCCGCTTTTTTTAAAATACTTTCTCAGTTCTTTTTTATGTATTAAATTTTTTTTTTCCAATTCATTTTTTTAATATATATTTTTAATTATGTTGTGTATATTTCTCATTGCGATTTAATATACAAAAAATTGTTTTATTATATTTTTAAAATTCTTGGTTAAATCTTTTCCATTTTTACTTATATACTTAATTTGATATCCAATTTTAAAAAAAAAATTTTTTGATAAAGTAAAAAATAAAATGAAGGATAAATAAAAAATTTAAAGAATAAAAATTTTTGCTAAGTATTATTTTAAATTTTCCAACCCTCCTCCCCCCACCCCCACCCTAATTTCTCTTGTTTTCTTGTTCTTTAATATTATTATTTTTTAAAATTTACCAACCCCCCTAATTTCGATTGTTCATCATAATTATACTCCTCTTTTTTTTTAAATTTTGAACTTTTTTCCCCCCATTTTTCTTGTTATAATTTTATCTAACTTTTTATGAGCCATATTAAGCGAAAATAATGGGGGGAGAAATTTGTTTATAAAAGAAAATTTTCTTTACACAATTACTAAAAATAAATACTTCCGATTTTTTATAAAATTATTATATGAATATTTCTAAATATAATATTTATGTAATGTGTTATTTGAATAAATATAATTATTTAACCCTTAACTACATAGGTGAAAAAAACTCCCGCGGTTACATAGGTGGGGTCTATTTTACCCCAAATTTTAAATAGCTATATCTCAGAAAATAATAAAATTTAAGAACTAAAATTTTATATACTTATTGTAAAAATATTAGAGATAATAAATACAAAATTTCTAGATTTACATTTATTTCTAAATAAAGTTATGATATATTTACTAAAGCTGCTAAAAAAAAATCTTTTTTTTGGAACTTTCCTTAATCATGATATGACCAAAAATAAATGAATGGAAGCAAATTTGATTATATATTTTATTAATTCAATATTTTATAGTAATAATTAAATAAATTTTATAATAAAACATCAGATATTAAAAAAAATATTTGATATTAAAGTTCATGCATTTTTTTTAAAAAAACATTCACGACATGTTACATACATATGATCTTTGCATATAAATTTGAACAAATAAATGAGGATTTCTTGTTCCTAACCCTTGGACAAGAGGAGCACCTTCCTTTTTGTTTGGTTGAAATAGGTTTTAATTCCTCTATATTTAGCATGTTCCCAATATTATCCCTTAGTAGTTTATTAACATGTGGGTTTTCATATCTATTACTCATTAATAGAGTTATTAGCTCCATTGCTAATAATTTTATAAACTTTGATCTATTAATCTCCTTTAAATTATTGGATTTATAAATTATTAAAGAATTTATGCAAGATATATTCAACAAATTATAAAAAATTGTCATAGGCCATCTATTTGTTATTCTGGATATTGAATAATTTGAACATAGCTGATCCACAACATCAACACCCGTTTTGGTAAGATTGTAAAATGTGATAATTTCTGGTTTTTTCAAATCCCCAGTTGATGTATCAATATTGTTATCATAGTGAAGGGTAGAAAGCATCATGCTTATACTTTTTTGGTACATATGATACTAATGTCATATTATCTTAGCAGGCAAATAAACTTGAACAAATATCTTTCTTTTTAAAATTAAATGATGTTGGAAACTGCTATTTATTTTTTCTTAAAGTTCCTACTATTGTTAATGAATGGGAATTTAATAAATGTATAGCAAGTTCATAACTGGTAAACCAGTTATCTGTGGTGACATTCCTATTACTCTTAGAAATGGGCTGAATTAACCTTTCAACCACATCAAAAGGCTTATTTCTCAATTTATAAGGTCCTTCAGGCTGATTGCCAGCATATAATTCTATTTTCAAAGTATAAAATGTCACTAGAATAATTGAAATTAAAAATCATATGTTAAATTTATGATTTTTAACTACACCGAAAAAATAAATAATATAAAATTTTCAAATTTAAAGTCATATATATCAAAAAATAGATATAATTATATTTTTTTCAATTATATTTATTAACCTGACATACATAAATATAATTAGTAACAAAAAAAAATTGGATTTTAAAAAAAAATTACATCATTACATAGGTGGGGTATATTTTACACCAAGCTCAACAAATAGCATATATCTCAAAAACTATCAAATCAATAATCATGAAACTTGGAAGTTGTATTCCTTGTTACAAAATATTAAACTACTGAAAAAATCAGGTCGGAATATCTTCTAGCTTTTGTATTACAAAGATTATAAAAGTTGTGGGGTCCTCTTTACCCCACCTTTGTAGTGAAGGGTTAAATGAAATTCGTTAAATCGATCACGATTTGGCCGACCCCTTTTCAACAGGGTTTCGAACCATTAAGTATAGAGGTTCGGTTCGTTACGGTTTTTAGTTTAAAATTTTATAAAGGTTTTGTTCCATTTCGGTTTTTTTTTGAAAAAATTTAAATCGGTTCGGTTTATAATTTATAACGGTTCTTTTCGGTTTGTTCCGGTTCTTATAAATTTGATTTAAAAAAAATTTAATAATAAACCATATATATTAATATTAGAGAAAAATCTTTTTATAATTTCTTATTTAATTTAACCATGCTGAGATATAGCTATTTAAAATTTGGGGTAAAATAGACCCCACCTATGTAACCGCGGGAGTTTTTTTCACCTATGTAGTGAAGGGTTAAATAATTATATTTATTCAAATAACACATTACATAAATATTATATTTAGAAATATTCATATAATAATTTTATAAAAAATCGGAAGTATTTATTTTTAGTAATTGTGTAAAGAAATATTTTCTTTTATAAACAAATTTCTCCCCCCCCCCCATTATTTTCGCTTAATATGGCTCATAAAAAGTTAGATAAAATTATAACAAGAAAAATGGGGGGAAAAAAGTTCAAAATTTAAAAAAAAAGAGGAGTATAATTATGAACAATCGAAATTAGGGGGGTTGGTAAATTTTAAAAAATAATAATATTAAAGAACAAGAAAACAAGAGAAATTAGGGTGGGGTGGGGAGGAGGGTTGGAAAATTTAAAATAATA